AGGGAAAATAAAAATACGGTATTGCCTGCTGGGAAATAATTCGCGGGCGCACCTCAGTGGCCGTGCAAGAATTTAAAGAGAACGTTTGTTTCACTCTGAGAAATTTTACAGTTATTGTCCCGTATAAATTTCAGCTGCGTGCACACTGTTGGTCTTTTTATGTGTTTTATTGCGTGGCAGTGGTGCGAGGAAACGCTTTTTTCTGATTCTTTGTGTCGCAAATAGGCTTGGCATTCCCTTCTTTCTCTCTCAGACATTTAATTTACTCATCAACTCTACATCCCCTTGCTTCCTTTTCCCCTTTCCTTCACATTCCTGGCTGATTTTTTCCAATGTTCTCTTCCCCCCTCTTTCCACTCCCTCAAAACTCCTTTTTTACGTTCAAAATTTCTTGAAGAGTGTTTTTTTTTATAACATTTAATTAAGACCTTTTACAGACTTAAATTTTCATTCAGTTTGCACTTTACTTGATTAATTCTCGTCACTCTCTTTTCCGACTTTTGGCAGAGGAGAAAAGAGGTCCATCCAGACGTGCCTTAAGTTTGCTAAAAGGATTGCCATTTTCTTTCTCTATTTTCCTCTCTTTCTCGCGCGTCCTCGTCAATGGAAAGAGTTCTTTCGACTTGATTTTTATTGGTGAAAACAAGCTCGGCTGGCAGCAAAACTGAGCGCGCGACTTATTTATGGAGGTGTGTAGTGAAGCAATAAAATTAAGATAAATATCTGGTAGGGCCGCAGTTACTTGGCACAAAAGTTTCCCAGGAGCTGCTGGATAGCCGCGGCACGCAAACTCGTTTTGATTGGTTCAGCCATCGATTTTCCTCTCAGCTCTTTCCGTGGTGAATTGACGATGACTTTGCACACTCGAGAAATTACCGGGACGATTTGTTTCTCGTGATTCAGTGGGACGGATTGTTTCTGGAGCAATTGACTTTTAAATTTATTGCTTCATCAGCTGTATGATCAATAAGGGGAATATAATGTAACACTATTTAGATTTTGATAGAAAAAACTTAACTTCAATTTTAGTTTAGCATTAATGCAGGTGGGTGGTTTTAGGAAATATCACAGGTTCTATTTAAAGTTATTGGTTTTACATTATTCTGCAGTGCTTTGTCTTGAAAAATAGAAGTATTATTGATGAAGGTTCTATTTACTTCATTAATCAAATTGCAGACAATAAATATTTATATCAAAAAGAAGAGCAATTGGTACGAAAATCAATTTAATGACACTTTCAATTATACATCCTAATTGCCTGATTGCTATGAATTAAAAAATATGAAATTATATATTTTAATAGAAACTTGACCAAATTTTTCCAGATAGACTATGCCAAATGTAACTATAAAAATATAAAATTTGATCAGCTAAATTAAATTAAATTATTAATTATGCTAATATTGAATTGAAGAATTTTAAAAATCAAATTATATAAAATTATCGCATAAATAATGTGGTTAATATTATTTTCTAAGCTAGTGTTTATTACACTTTTGTTGTTTGTAATATTTAAACAATAGTTCTAACTAAAAGTCTGAAAGAAAACTTCGCTAAATAGAATTAATTTTACATAAAAAAAAGTTCACATGGGAGGTGAAGGTGAAATAAAAGTGTTACAAACAAATAATAAAAAATAACTCTCCCTTCTCATAATTTTCAATTTAGTCCATCAAACCAAATTGAACCCTTTTATGACACTACTCTATAGCGATTGTTTCGCAGCATGTTGATTTTATTACTGCATTAGAGCCGTGGCGGTTTATTTGATATTTCACACCGTGCGCGCACCACGGAGACACAATGTTGTGAAACAAAAAAAGCACTCTCATCTCCCCAAGGAGAGCCTCACTCTCGCTGCAAAACGCAGCGGCTTATTTTCCAACCCTTTCTGCGCGATTCGAGCGAAAGGCAAAGCAATAATCGTAATAATAACAGTAATAATGCGCCCTTTATGATGGCGGCGCGCGCGCGAGAGAGAAAGCCGATCCATTTATCTCGATTGGCCTAAGAGCGACACACACCGACTCTTTGATGTGCGGAGAAGCAGCTGCCAGAGCCTCGCCAAATTGTTTTCCGCAACGCGCAAATTAGTCGTCTAGACTAACGACGTTCATCACCATCAGACGATAACGTGATTGGAAGGAGGGCAGCAGGCGTGCCGCTGAGAATTACAAAGAGCTGCACGCCGGAAATGTTTTTCACTCTAGCACACGAAAGATAGAACGCAAGATAGCCGCCCTGTATGTTTTGATTGCGAGATGAACCGCGGATCGATCTTGAAATTTGCAACTCAAAATGCAAGAGTGGTGTAGGAAAGCTGAAATTAAGGCAGCCATGCGCTTGTTAGAGGCAAAAATGTAGACTGCTATTAATTTATTGTCAATTTAATTTATAATTTTTATGATTCGTCTCAAGTTGGGCAGAGATTGCAATGAACTTAATTTTCAACTAAAAATTAATTTATGAAATAAAAATATCCGAAAAGTAGAATAAAATTCAAAATTCATTCTTTGAGTCTCAATACAAGATTATTTTTTCACACACGTTTTCTATGAAATTAAAAATCAATAAAAAATATGTTAAATTTATCAGTCAAAGTTATAAATAATCAATCAAATTCATCTTGTTCAGGAAACCCTTCAATCCAGTACTTCAGATGATTCAACCTATGAATTGCTAAATTTTCCAGAAGCCCATAACTTTCATTGGCCAATCAGAAACTGACCATCTTTGGCCTCCGATTGTGATTTGAATTAGCTTAACCCTACGATGCTCACCACTTTCTTTATCAATCAATTCATTATTTTTTGCAATTTTGTAAATAAACAGCTGCATTAAAATACTGCATGTTGATGGCTTCTTATCCAGAAACTTGGAAAAAATAGATTCTTGTCGACAAAAAACATAACAAAATATCAAAGATTAAATCAAACATTTTTTTAATGAAAATTTTGATATGAGGAAATAATCCTGCTGGTTCTTGGAAATTTCTAAATGTTCTTCAATTTTTTCCCTTCCGCTTTTCTACTTTTCTTGCTCCACAAAAGGAATCAAGTTCCCTGCGAACCAAAACCTCAAAGGAAAAATTATGGCATGTTTTCAAAGCAGTGCAGCTCTCAACTCGCAATTCCCGTTTCTCATAAATTGGCCCTCCTCTTTGTGCCCCAGGGTTCCCTATCATGGCCTGCTCCACTTATAGTTACTCACAAACGACCAAGTTTTGCACTCACATGGAGCTCCCGCCGCTCTGCGTCGGCAATAATTAATTCTCGCGGCGTGCGCAGCAATAACTCGTCTTTTATGCAACCTGCGTTACGGACGAGGCAATCGGGTCAGCCTGGCTGCAGCCGCGCGAGAGGTAATGCAATAAAAACGGAAACTTTGTGCACATCTCCTGCAGCCGGTGAGAAATATAGGGGTGTATAAAACCCGGTGAGCAATCTAGGCTATACGGCTGTATGTACTTCTCAGAGCCAACTGCACGTCTTTTTTATGCACCTTATTACATTAATCTCGGAAATGAAGTCGCGCCACAGCACGTATTGAAAATCCAATAAGTCAGGATGTGGAAAATGCGGTATAAAATTATGGAGATTCGATGCCATAAATAAGACAATGGAAGACGGAAAGTTGGCTTGATTTAGAATTCCTGATGCGGTTGACTTTGCAAACAACTTTGATCTCGGCCATAAAATTTGCAAGCTTGCAAGCTTCAATGGAGAAAATTTGTATTTAATGGGGAATGAAATTTCCAACTTAACGCTGCAATATAATTCCCTTACTTAAGTAAAATGAAATATCAATAAAAAAATTTGTAACACTGACAATGAGAGATTTCTTTGTCAAGTATTCATTCTGATTTCTTTCACTTCTTATAATTAATTACCTTATTTGTTTATAAGGCTTGAAATTAGAATAAAAATTATGAATTTTCTAAAATGCAAGGCTCGAGTTACAGGCTACTTTCTTGTATAAAAAATTATTGAATGTTTTTCATTTTTAAAACAATTTTTATAATAAACATAACAAAAAATAATATTAAATTGTTTTACTTAAAAAAAATATATATCTTCATATTATTAAATGTAATTTTAAATTTAAACGTTTAACTTTTTTGATAAAAATAATTATATAGAAGTATTTTGCAATAATTTATCTTGAATGTATAAACAATGCATCTCTGAAAAATTATAACATTTAGATCTAAAATGAAGTTTTTTGAATGTGTGTTATTATTTCAATTAAATTATCAGAATAATATAAAAAGAATTATAAAATGTAGCTTACACATAACCTGTAATCTCACATATTAAATTTCAAAACGTTCGTTCTTTCTTCAGTCTTGTTAGCTTAATTCTTACTTTACTGTGACGACGCAATATTTTCCAGGAAAAGTTGATTGCAGCAACGATTACTGTAGAAAGGGGAACCGAGTTCTCTCGCAATCATTCTCATTGCGGCACTTCTTTTTGAATTGAGCACGCCACGAGCACGCGTGCAGGCGAAAACTTTGAGAAATTACTGAAAACAAAAAGCAATCCGCTCGGAAATTGAATGCCGACGACACGCTCTGCTAAACTAACTCGTGGGCACACGTGCAAAAAATTAGCGGCGCGCGAGAATTTTTCCACGTGACTTGGTAACGCGCCGCAGAATAAATTGCTGCAGCAAACACACGTTTGCGCAAAGTGGTGAGTAAAAAAATTAAAACAATACTATACAGGCGCAAGTTTGCGTTGGTGAATCATAAATTAAAGCGCGGTTTCACAAATAAATTGCGTTTCAGTGCTTTGAGGGCGCTGCTCGCTGTTGCACGCTTTCATCATCCGTTCGTGGGACGCTGGAAAAAATAATAATGTCGCCTCAACCTGGCACGCGATTTCATAATTAGCCAATTACCCACTTTGAGTGCCGGCGCAATATTATTCGACGTGAGTGGCTTTGACGAGATTTCCGCGCCTGATTCGACTAACGACCAATATAATTCCTTTTCTTACCTTTCTCGCAGAAGGCGCCCTCGTAGTCCAGGTTGCGGCACTCGCAGATCGGACCGCTGTCCGTGCTGATGCAGATGCCACCGTGCTGACAAGGGTCGTGGTCTTCGCAGGCGTCGCTCGAGTTGCCACGAACTCCCTGAAACAACACGAATAAAGATTTGTAGAGCAAACGTCAACTGATTCTGATGATAGGAATTCGCAGATCAGATAAATAGTCAAATTGAAAATAAATCGCATTCAAGATTTTAGCAAATTTACATTTCAATCTTATTTTTATTAATTTATAAAACTGTTTTAAGTTTAATTCAAATAAAAAAGGCCAAAAAAATTGTTTAAAGATATTGACACTCACGGACATGATCATGGAAGAGGAGAACAGGCTTTTCCTCATTGTAAAATTGTTTTTATTATAAAAAAATTTGTCAAATCAAAGCATTTAAACAGGGACAATTCTCATGTTTGAATTATTTATTATTTGATTTTAAACATTACTTTAATCAATTTTAATCAGATTGATGCATAAATAATTTTATAGAATTTTACATCTAAAACCCAAACAATAGCTACAAAAAACACAATGAATTAAATAAATACGTTTTTAAATCATTTGAAGTCTTTATAAGCAATATTTATTAAAATACTATGTCCTACCTGAATTGATAAATGAATTTTTAAAATTAAGAAACCACAAATGTAGTGTTTTAAAAATAACTAAAAATATTCTGCTTCAAAACTAGGTTTTTTTTTCAATTCTCTGCTGTCTAATGGCTTCAGATTACATAATTTATACAACTAGATAAGTTAAAGCTCTTAATCTGTTCAACTGTTCGCGTAAGTTTTTATTTCATAAAATATAAAAATTTCACCTTCGCATTTGTTTTGATTTAAATTTTCTCCGTGAATTTCCTTTTAAGTATGATAAGTGCTATACATAAAAAATCCACACCATATATTAGCTTAGTGTATACGTACTTTCCTTATCCACGTGTGGATGTCAATTTGGAATAATATCTCGATCAACAATCTGAGACCGGCCTTGAACCCGCAGTTCAGACGGCGAGATAGCGGACACGCAAAATTTGCATCCGGCGCACTAAATTTAACCGCGACTCAGCGATAATGAATACGTTGGGCGATTCTTTTTCACGTGCAACACGATTCATCCCGCTTATTTTTTCTCCACCCGGCCATTAATTCATCGCGGTATCCCCAGCCTTCGATGTGAATAATTATATCAGACGGCGCGGGGCGTGTTCACAAAAGCTGCTCTTCGGGCCAGAGCCGATGGGAAAATATTTGTTTGTGCGATGCAAGGTGCGTGCTTTATCGCCGCACTCACCATCAATCTGTTGTTTTAGCGGTTAATCACACGGCGCGCACCTTCATACATATAATTAGCATGACAGAGTTTATTTAAAGTCCGTTCTTCTTGTGAATATGAAAAGTGCGAGCGCGCGTCGAAGCCTCAACTTATTGTTTGCACCACGCATTTTAAATTTTCATCGATGTTAATTCATGCTCACTTATATTTTAGACAGAATTTTTTTTTAAAGGAAAAAATAGCAATTCTAGGCTAAAATTATTAAATTCAAGGAAAATTTTAATTTTCAGTGTTAAAAATGTATCACTTCTGTATTTTGAAAATATAATTGAGTTCTAGAAGAATATAATCTTTATAGCTGAAATCATATAAATTGTTTAATTAAGACAATGTGATAGTAGGAAATATTGAATAATAATTAGTAACTTAAATTTTTTTTAGCTATTGTAATAATCGTTGTAATATTATTCCTCCTCTGCCTTGATCTATCTCTGTTTGGATCTAATAATTAACCAATAAATATTTAAATCAAGCTGAACGCATTACCATAAACAGGGAACAAATTTTGTAACATTTTTGATAAATCTGTTGCTGAATGCAGGCATAAAACATTCATAGTAAAAATATGAGATTTATCAAACACAGTCATCAAACCATGCTCTATTAATTATTACTTTTTTTCCGGAGAAAGAAATTTTTATCTGGTAAATAAATTACTTCTCAAGAGACTGAAATTTTGATTCCTCGACTTTAACAATTGTATTTATTTATATTAGCATATTAATTTATACAAATATGTCTTAGCTTATATTCTGTACTTATTTCTCTTGGAATCTGTAGAATTACTAAAGCATCCTGGAATTATTTTGTAAGCGAAAATAACTTCCGTCGCAAATGGAATTCGGCGACGGAGCAGAGAATCCCGGTAATTTATCGGAAATAAATAAGATTACAGCAGGAGATTTGGCGCAAATCCTTCGCTCACGAATTTTATTTGAGCTGTCAGTGCTGATTCTGATTTAACTCGGGGCGCAAAGGGTTGCTCGCAGGCGCCGCCGTGCTGATAAAACAGCAACACTTAAGAGATTATCGCGCAGGGCGGGCGCTCACAAAGCGCGCACTCACGCTCTCTCATACATAACACCTTGGGCAATATTGGGTATGGATAGATAGGATAGAGCAGGGTATGTTCACTCAAACCCGGCGGGACTGAGCCCTAACACGGATTTAACAAAACGAACTGGCGAACGACATTTTAAGGGGGGCGGCGCACGCCTGCAATGATAAAGCGCCCTGGCCCATGTTGACAGCAACACCAGCCTTCGCTTTCTCTCTGGGCCACGGGATCACAGGTGCCATACGCGCCGATTTATAAATAAATAAAATATAGAGAAGGCACAACACAAGTCTCAAAGTCTCTTGTGTCACCTTAGAATGCAAGGGAGACGCATAAATTTTGCAAAAAGGTCTAAAAAAAATTGCTAAAACTTAAATTGCAATGTATATTTGGAATTTCATGATTTTAAAATCTAGTTTGTTGCATCAGATATTTAATTTTTAATACGTGACCAAATAAAAAGCAGCATTTCAAAATATTTTCTAGAAAAGGAAAAGAGGCGAATAAAAAAATATTTACACTTTGAAAGAACAATTATTCCTTTTTTGTTAATCATAAAACAATATTTCACGTAACAAAGGAGCATATTTTCCAATCAATTTTTTTTTTAACTTTTGAATAGCTTGATTTGTAGTTATTTGATTATATTTAATGATCAATAAGCAGCGATAAAAAACTCAATCGACTAGAATTTTAAAGTCTTTAAAGAATAAAAATACTATTATGCAAAAGCAGTATTTTTTCATTAAATGTCTCTTCATCTACTTTTCTTTTGAAATTTAATTAAAGAACGTGGTTTCGTTAGCAATTTTAATGAAATAATTAAAATTTCAGAGTTAAGCAAGGCCCGTAGGATTTAGTGCCGCTTAAGTTCAAAGGGCAAGAGTGGTAGGAAAAGAAAATTTTAAAGTAAAACTCCTCTCCAGAGAAGTGTGTTTTACTCTTCAAAGTCGAAAACTTGGCTCAAACAAAGCCACCACACCGCACACCGTGACGAACTTTGAGATTTAAACGAGCCGCCCCCGACGTCATTTATTTTTCTTTCAGCCCATCTCCGGTATCAGCGTATTAAAATCCACCGCCGCAGGCACAGGGGAGCGGATTAATTCAGCGGGGACGCAACACACGCGAAAAAGGTACCGGAGCGAGTTTTACGCGCAAACTTTCGAGCGGCTGCCACTTTCGCGCATACGCTGTAATTAAGGCAAATTCGTCGGTGTGCGTATATTCGTTTTAAGTAATTAGATATAGTACGTAGCAGCACACACGAAACAGCGGTGGGGGTCTTGCTTACACACATTAACTGGAGAGATGTTTATTGCGGCTTAACATTCGACCCGGCAGCCACCGTGTTGCAATGCAGAGCATCTGGCGCGCTACTTTGTCGACGGGCTCATTCAGCAGAATAAAGAGAGCGATGGAATAATTGCCAGCAGCCGCTGCTGCTGTGAGATGCATTCATACCCTTACATATCCGGCCTCTAATGTAGCACAAGAAAGGATTAGGTGAAGTCAAAGGAAGCTTGCAGAGGAATATTATGCTTCTCCTTTGCACAAATGGAAGATAAAATCCAAATGCGTCTTTACAGTTTTATTGATTATTATTATTAGTATCAAATAAAAACTTTTATTTTTGATTATTTTAAAACACGTTTAAATATTTTTGACAGTTTTTAATAAATTATATCTATTTAAAATTGTTTTGTGATTTGTATGTTATTATTAAAAATAGTCTTTTGATAATGTGATTCAAAAAAACAGCGATAGCAAAAATATTTTTTATACATTTTAAATTATACAAATAATGTGATGGTAGAAAGCAAGTCTCAATTATTATAATAAATAAAATTCCTAATTTTTGGAGACAGTTGCTAATTTTGTGGCAGAGATTGGAATTGGATTTTGATCATGTTGAGTCATAAATTTGTTATTTAAAATTTCAACTCCTTTGGTTTGCTTTATAGATTTTAGAAAATACTTAATATCTTTTGCTGACAATAAATATGAATTAATTATTAAATTGAAACAATTATTAAGTCTTAATTTCATATTTAGGTCGGGGCGTCGGTGATTTTTCGCAATAATGAGCGATTATATTTTTAGTCTCTTGAAGACGCTGTTATTTATTTTTCTTTTAAACTCCTTTGAATTTGTTTAGTGATTAGCATTCAAAATAAATTGACCTGCAGGTTACAAAAAAATTAAAATTTAGTATTTTTACTAAATCAATTAATGCCAAATATATGCAAAAGCAAAAATATTGCAATATTTTTTTATTTGATGGAACGTTGCGGCATAAGTTGAAAATAATGTAAAAATCCCCCCAAAGCACAAAGCCATTCCTCCACTTTGCTTATAATCCGAGCAGATTTTGTGCGTGTACGTCGTTATCAGGGGTTTTGTGCGGCGCGCGGGAAGGATGGGGCTTGAGAGTGCATAATGCGGCAGCGAAAGTGGCTGCCAACAAATGTGGGCCATTACTCGTGCTGCTGAACTACTTCCGACAGCCAGCGGTCCCACCGAGTGAAGAGTGGAGTATGCAACCTGCTCAGTCGGCGAGTCGAGCAGGTTGCATAACCCAGTTCACCGTTTTTCATTTTTCATCTTTGACGACGAAAGAGAGTTCAGTGGAAGGATTGATTAAATTCATTCGGCGATAATGAGTCACACTTGAAAAGAATAGTAGGTCAATGGTGAA